AGAGGAACAAGATGGTACGCGTGGATTTCCCTAATTCATCCTCAATAATTCCAACAGAGGACTTCAATGTCATGGTCCAACTGAACATCACCTGTTATCAACTGGTATTAACCTTCACTAAACTTCAATCTAATGGTTTACAGAGCTTCTACAAGATACCCTAGCTATTCTACACTAGTTCTTGATGATTAAAACTCCTAATTCAAACAATTCTTGCAAATCAAAGATTCATGGTCCTGCTATGGAACTTCATGGTATGGGCTGTAACTATCAGAATTTAGTCCTCTACCCTAGCCTAACCTTTCTATGCCTAAGAAACTAGTTAAAGCTCAATAATTTAGGAGATAGAGGGTGAAGAATAAACCTGTCAAGAAGATGAGATGAGGTGATGTTGAGCACGATTCAGAGCTTGTAACTTCTCAACAATGCCCTTCTAATGGTGGAAGATCTTCTGTATGCACTTGTATGGAAGGAGAATGCTTGTAGTGGATGAAATTCAAAGTTGCTTGAAGTTGAAGAAAGTGCTTCAATGGATCCTTCTCTCTCTCTCTCTCTCTCCTGAAATTTCTCTCTATCACCAACCTTGAACTCTCTTCATGGCCTTCTTCTCATAATGATCATTAGATGCTTCTAGATTCATCTAGAATTTGGTGGAAGTTTCTTGAAAATCTCATGACATGCCATATTGGTTATCTCATATCTCATATGTTATGCCTTGCAATTTTGTGCCAAATTCTCCTTATGAGAGATATTGAGTGTGGATGAATGAAAAACAAGCTCATCTTTGGCTTGTGTAAGGTTTTTCAACATTGCCTTCTTTTTCAAGTAACAACTTTTCAAAGCATCACCCATTTTAAAGCTCCAAATCACAATTCTAGCTAAACCAATGTTCCCAAAATGATTTTTCCAATCAAAATGATATATTGGATGACCTATTTTGGATTTGTGGATCTTCCAAATCACTTTTCAATTTCAACTTTTCAAACTTATATGCCATTTTTAGTTCATTTTTGACCAATCATGTAACTTCATGTTATAAGCTTTTCCAACAATTTGTGACCTTCTTTCTAGACTTAAAATCACATTTTGAGCAACTTTCATGTTTTAAGTTTTTCCATTTGAGGCTTGGAAATAGGAGTTTTAGGCATTGGCTAAAATGACCTATAACTGACAAATGACCAAAATACCCCTGTCTTGTTCAAACCATAAGTTGAGTTCCACAAATCCAATCAAGGACTTCTACCACTCAAATTAAAGCTAAGAAGATGCTCTTCAACATTCATGTTGACCAAGAAGTCATAGGAATCCTCCTACTAGGTCAAAAGTTGTCTGCAAGTTGGGTGACTTTCAAGGACCCAGATTCACACACCTCTGCTGACTTGTAATTTGTCAAAACCATAACTTGGGCTCTGTAACTCCTATCAAGGACTTCCACCACTCAAATTAAAGCTTAGAACAAGCTCTACAACATTCATGTTGTGGGGAAGGTGAGATATCAATCACATCTTGGGCTAAAACTGCCTGGAAGATAGGGATCAAATTAGGGTTTTCCACTGACAACCCTTGAAGACCCTGACTTGAAACTTCTCAAACTCCTCACTCATGATGAGTTGGCCTAGGAATCATCTTTATATCATCTCTATGCATCATTCCATGGTCTCATGGCTCTTGGTTTGGATCTCAACCTTCTCCAAATCTTCAGTTAACCTAGGGTTGACCCAGTCAAAACCCTAACTCTGCCATTCATGGTTGAATCTTTAGAACTCTTACATAATGACTTCTCTGGGCTTCATGAAGGCTATCAAGACATCTCATAGGCTTTCCCAAAACATCAAATTCATTCTCAAAGTCTCAGAACCATCTGAGGAGCACCCACAACTTTCAAACTATGAAGCACACAACCCTGGTTTCAACCCACTTCTCTGAGGATCTCTTGAACTTTCTGATGAAGGTATCCACTTTCAAACACTCAATGAATAAATAATTGTTGGTCAAATTTTGGGGTGCAACAGATATACACCACAAGATTTAGTTTTAGACTATGGAATTTCAAAGTGCTTAATACAATCCTCGTGAGATCGATTGATTGTTATACTTGCACATACAAAGTAACCATCAATAATGCTATGCATAGATGCATTTGTTTGCACCTAAGAATAATTAAATTGTCAATTGAGATTGGCAGACAAACAATTTTAAGATTAATTGAATGCTCCTAAATGAATAGCAAGTGAAGTAACTATAAACATAAACGAACTTGAGTCGACCCAAATTTTCTCAAATCTATTAGAGTTAATTGTGGTCGCAAAAACTTCAGAATCAATCAAAACACAATATGACTAAATAATTGAGCTTTATGGTCGACCTAAAAAGGTTGCATACCAGGAATAAAGTCAATAAAATATCCGCATAAATAATTGAATGAGACGATTTCTTAATATGATTGAGAATTATAACTTATAAACTATTCAAGACATTCAATCAATCAAGTTATTTTATATATATTTTTATTTTAAAACTCTTTGAATGGTTAACTTGATTAAGAAACTAAGTGACCACATGTAACTAATTGTTTACACCAATAAAAAGCTTGGTGCCTCTATGATGCTTGTGTGGTTTTACTGTTGAACATGTAAGAGTAGAATTTTTAGAGTCTGATACATGAGAATTATCATATCGACGAATCTCATGCAAGTTTTTTAGTGACGATAAATAACAAAAATTCCTACTTTGTATTGACATTTCTGATTTTTAATGTAACATGTTCGCTATAAAATTAGGAATACAAAATCATTGATTATATGCTGAAAGGGTATAAAGGATGTCTGATGTAGAAATTCAACTTATTGATTCTGAGATGATGAAAGTGGTTTTTAGAGTCAACTAAGAAAATACTTTTTCTTTTAAAAGGGCTTTTAAAAAGATAAAATATGTTGCTAAAGCATGGAGATTATATAGGTTTAGATCACATAAATGCACCGATCGAAGAAAATTGGCATTACTTTTAGTTTTAGCATTTTCTTTAAAAAAATATAATTTTTCATTATGATTGAAATTGAAACTTTTATGAGTAAGGTTGTTAACAAGAATCAAAGTTTAACTTTTCTCATAAACAACTTCAAACATCAACTCTCTTAGATAAACAACAAAACGATAGAATTTGGTATTCAAAAATTAGTCTATGTGGATGATATTTATTTTATTAGTTCGATATTGTCGTAGGCTTAAGGCGTGTCAAGTTACTTATTGAATATTCTCGCGTTGTAGATATACACCACAAGATTTAGTTTTAGATTATGAAGTTTCAAAGTGCTTAATACATTCCTCGTGAAATCGATATTTTTCTTATGATTTTACTACTTTGATTGTTATACTTGCACATACAAAGTAACCATCAATAATGCAATGCATAGATGCATTTGTTTGCACCTAAGATAATTAAATTGTCAATTGAGATTGGCTGACAAAACAATTTTAAGGTTAATTGAATGCTCCTAAATGGATAGCAAGTGAAGGAACTATAAAGATAAACGAATTTGAGTCGACCAAAATTTTTTCAAATCAATTAGAGTTAATTGTGGTCGCAAAAACTCTAGAATCAATCAAAACACAATATGACTAAATAATTGAGCTTTATGGTCGACCTAAAAAGGTTGCATACCAAGAATAAAGTCAATAAAATATCCGCATAAATAATTGAATGAGACATCATTCTCTATACGATTTCTTAATATGATTGAGAATTATAACTTATAAATTATTCAAGACATTCAACAATCAAGTTATTTTATTTTATTTTTTTTATTTTAAAACTCTTGAATGGTTAACTTGATTAAGAAACTAAGTGACCACATGTAACTAATTGCATCTTGGAGTGTTTGTCATGCAATATGACTTAGAAGATTGTTGAGCAAAATGGAGATAAAACAGATAGATGCAACAGTAATACAAGTGGACAACAAATCAGCAATTGAGTTATCAAAGAATTCAGTGAATCATGAAAGAAGCAAACACATCGATGTTCATTTTCATTTTATTCGAGAACATGTGAAGGAAGGAAGTATTGAATTGAAGCATGTAGCAAGCAAGGATCAAGCAGCAGATATTTTCACAAAACCATTATCGAAAGAAGTTTTCGACAGAGGGAAGAAATTAATAGGCATGACTGATGGTAGAAACATTTAAGTTTACAGGGGAGATTTGTTGAATAAACCTTAAATGTTATTTTAAGGAAGTTTTAATTTTAGATGTCAGTTATGAAAGGTCAAGAGATGTCAGTTATGAAAAACCTGGAGGTTAATGGTGTATTAATAAGAATTGAATTGCATTTTAATTTCTAGAATAGTAGAGTCTTGGGTCTATATAAAGACTTGGTTGTATTCTCATTTAAAAAGAAGCAAGAGTGAAATAAAAATAGTCCTTCTGTCATAAAAAAGGAAGAAAGGTGCTTATGGTTTTATTTTCAATATATACTCCTACGGGTATATAGTATAAGTAGCTGCAAGTTTCTTGTTGTCAATTTTAGGGTTAATCGAATGCTCCTAAATGAATAACAAGTGAAGTAACTATAAACATAAACGAACTTGAGTTAATTGTGGTTGCAAAAACTCTAGAATCAATTAAAACACAATATGACTAAATAATTGAGTTTTATGGTCGACATAAAAAGGTTGCATACCAAGAATAAAGTCAATAAAATATCCGCATAAATAATTGAATGAGACATCATTCTCTATACGATTTCTTAATATGATTAAGAATTATAACTTATAAACTATTCAGTCAAGTTATTTTATATATTTTTTTATTTTAAAACTCTTTAATGGAACTTGATTAAGAAACTAAGTGACCACGTGTAACTAATTGCTTACACCAATAAAAGGCTTGGTGCCTCTATCTTCTATGATTCTATATCTAAAGTCTCTAGAAGTGAAATTTAAACAACAGCCAATTCGAGTAAATGAAGAAAAAAAATGTTCTTGAATGATAAAAAGCACGCTTCAATGGTCTTTAGCATGAGCAAGTGAAGAGGAGCCAGCTACTGGTTTAACAAAACCACAGTTACTACAAGGTGTAGGCTCTTTCGATGTCATTTCATTGTATGTTGTACAACTCTTAGAGCTGCTGTGCCCTCCCCTTATAACATGTTCAGGCAACCTCAATGTATACTTCGCATTATCTTTCTCTTCACCTCTAATCATTACTATAGAATGCCCCGTTGAATGTGACTTTGAAAACTTAGATTCTTCTCCTCGCGGCATGTTCGTGTTCTTACAATCATGTTGGCCAGTTGCATTTATTTGAGCTCCAGTGATCCCTCCAACAGTGTCTCTTTCCTCTTGTCCAACATCAATACGTATAGCATCGCACGGTAACTGCACCATACCCTCGTCTGCATCAACGGTGTCATTGTTGTTGTTGATGTTGTTATCGTTGTTGTTGTCATTGTCACCGTGTTTCAAAGTCGGATTTAAATCGAGGTCGGTTCGACAAACGGGACATGTCTTGTGAGATTCAAGCCATAAATCAATACATTCTTGATGGAAAACATGACAACAAATGCTTAAATGACGAAGCATGCTATCATCCTCGAACTCTAGCAAGCAAATAGCACATTCTAAACAGTAACTCTTTTCCTCACGTAGATCTTTCACGGAGGAGTAAGCAAAAGTAGGGAACTTGTCTAGAAGGGTATTGTCGAGTCCTCGAGGCGGTGATCTCTCAGGCGAGAGACGAGAGAGAGAACCCGAGGCTGTGCGTTGTAAGGCCCAAGTGTGGAAAAGGCCTTGAAAACAAAACTTACAAAGATACACAATGCTGAAAGCCACAAAGGTTAAGATGAGGAGGGAGAGGGTGAAAGCTACTAGTGCCGGTGGGGTCCTGTATGTTGGAGCCGGCGGGATTTTGTAATCAGCTTCCGATGCAGACATTGCCGGGAGAGTGACGATTGGTTATTCCGGACCTTCCACACTTTCTTGTTTGCATGGATGAGACAAGTTTCTGAACAAAAGTGGTGTGAATGAAAGTTAGTAAAGTGGTGATTATTTTTCTCTCTTCATGTTAATATTACTATTTTTTTTAGAGAGGATTTTAAGGGAGAGAGAATGAAGGTGGTGTTTGAGTATTAGATGATAGGTTAATATGAGAGAGTAACGTTGAGAGTGATTTATAGCCCTTGGTTGGTTACAAATGTTGGTTTTGAGCGAGTCGTTGTGAGAGGTACAAGGACTATTGAGAGTATGTAGTGCATGAATAAGCAATTAGGATTATTAAAATTATAATAAATAGTTCTTTGGAAGGTAGTTAGAAAATTCTCCATCTCTTCTTTCAAATTCAATTTTAAAAACTCTAAATAACAATGACTATCATATCTGTTTTTTACTGTTAGGATTTCACTATCCAACTCTAGGATATTCAAGCAACTGTCAATAGAATACATATGTTAGATAATAATTCTACTCCTATTGTATTTCCTACTACTAAATTATTAATCTAATATGATATGATATTGCAGGGTTATTTATATTAGTTTTGTTGGTACGTTGTGAAAAGTATTACTTTCAGCAATAATTTATTTTTTATTTACATCAAATATTAAAGTTTATTATTTACTTTATAACATAAAATTTCAGTTTTTATCTTAAAATCTTAAATTGATGGAGTGCTTCAACCATTGACCTCCCATTTCTGAAGAAAAAAAAATCTAAAGTGCATCTCTATATTAAATTTATTCTTCTATGTGACTTACAAGTTTGCAAGTTGCTTTTATAACATTTTATATGTGTTTTCAATTATATTTAATAAAAATATGTTGTATTCTTATAGTTTTTGAAGACACATGACATATTTTTATATATAGGTTGATGATTTATCATTCAGAACTTAAAAATAAGATCAACCCTAATAAATTCTAACAAACTAATAACAATTCTAATCAACTCTGACAAATTAATAACAAACTACTAAATTTATCTCTAATATTTTCCATCAAGATAGAGGGTGAGGATTATAAACACCCAAGTTGAATATGAGGTCTTGAAAAACTTTCACGTCTAAGAACTTAGTAAAAATGTTAGCATTTTGTTATTTGGTGGTTAGGTAAGTTATGTTTATGGTACCTGACTGTATGTGTTCCCTGATAAAATAACAGTCAATTTCAATTTGCTTTATTTTTTCATAGAAGATTGGGTTTGCATCTAAATTAATAGATGATTGATTGTCACAATGCAGAAGCGTGGGTTTGATGCATGGAACTTGCAGAGTCTCTAACAAATTACATAGCCATAGTATTTTACTTGTGGCATATGCCATTGCATGATATTCAACATCACTTAAGGATTGCGAGATCGTGGATTATTTCTTTGTGTTCCATGATATTGGAGCATTTCCAAGTTTCATTAGATAACCTGAGATGGACTTTCTGGTAATGAGACTCAATGCCCAATCTGAGTCACTGTTAGATCATCATGTTGTGGAAGAATGATACCTTGACCGGGAGAAGGTTTGGGATATCGTAAGGCTCACGTAGCAGCATCCCAATGGTCTTGGAGTGGAATTTGCATGAATTAACTTAGAATATGAACTGAGTAGGTTAATTCAGGCCTAGTGATAGTTAAGTAAATCAAGCGTCTAGGTAATCTCTTATACCTTGACGGTTCTAAGAGTGGGGGTCTCTTGGCCAAAGCAAGTTTGTGATTTTGTACCATTGAAAACAAAGAAGGCTTACAACCAAGCATTCCACATTCTTGTAGAATATATAAGGTGTATTTTCTTTGATAAAGGAATATCCCTTTTGAATCTTGTGATAATTCTAGGCCTATGAAGTATTTAAGCGAACCAATATCCTTCATGTGAAAACATTACTAGCAATGACCAAGTCATCAAAATAGATCAAAACAACAAGAAAAATTGATCCATGTGAATAAGCAAATAGAATATGATCAGACTGGTTATCTTGGAAACCATATTTTATCAAAGATTGAGATAGTTTGTGATACCAATGTCTAGATGCTTGTTTCAATCCATACAATGACTTTTTTAATATGCATACCAAATCTTTGCTTGGAAATTTATATCCTTGTCGAGGACTTATATATACTTCTTCTATCAATTCTCCATGCAAGATGGTCTTGCTAACATCCATTCGATGTAATTTCCATCCTTTCACCACTGCAACTGTTAACAAGCATCTGACTGTGGTCATTTTGGCCACTGTTAAAAAAGTTTCATTGAATTTATCACCTTTTATTTGTGTGTAATCTTTAGCAACTAATCTAACTTTGTACTTTTCAATCTTACTTGTAGATTTATGTTTGATTTTTTACACTCATCTACATCTTATCAATTTTCTTCCTTGTGGTAAATGAGTTAGTTTCCATGTCTCATTGTCTTCTAGAACCTTGATTTCTTAATCCACGGCCACCTTCCAAAATGTGTGCTTGACTGCTTGGATATATGATTGAGGTTTTTCGTCATTAGTGATGGCTGCAAGGTAAGCTCTATATTTTTGTGAAAAATTATCATTTTAAAAATTTTGAGATTGGATATGTGATTCCTGAAGAGGACTCTGGAACTGATGTCATGCACTTGGGGTTTATGATTAATTTTCCACAATCATAGTCGTTTAGATAATTTGGAGGTCGTCTTATGTGTGGCATGTTTTAAGGCTCCCCCTTATTTGAGACTTCTCTTTCACTTTCACTTGATGATTCATTTTTAGAATCATTGGCTACTTTCTCATTCACGTCATCTACGGATACATGTTCTTGCTCTATAGTCTCACTCTCAGTTTGACTTGTGTATTCAGGTTCCTTAATGGGTTAACTTTCTATAAGACCTGATGTTTTGCCATTATGAGGAATTTCTCAAAGGCTTGGTACTTCCAATTATGCATCATTATAGAGTGAAAACTCATCATTGAGGTTATCACTTGATGAGTTATTTTTAAGAGGGTTAAATATGTTTTTGGTCACTACAAATATCTCACATTTTATTTTTATTCCCTATAAAAAAAAGGACATATTTTGGTCCCTACAAAAATTTTATGCATGCAGTTTTAGTCCTTACTATTTTTTAAATTTTTGAAAACTATTTAATTACCTATAAACTTTTAAATTTTTGAATAATTTTTTTCATATGTGTTCAGATTACTATAAAATATTTCTTTACCAAATCATATAATTTTTTAAAATGAGAAGAATTAAATATGAATTTTTTAAATTTCAAAAGATAATGATAAAAGTAATGAAATATAAATCAAATTTTGAGTTTCTATTTTTTCGAGGAACTTTTTATAACGTTCTAAACATATCCGAAAAATAATCATTCAAAAATACATTGGTTTAACACTAAGGACTAAAACTACGTGCATAATTATTTTGTAGGGACCAAAACACACATTTTTTTTCTAGGGGCCAAAACAAAATTTGGTAATTTTATAGGGACAAAAAACATATTTAACCCTTTCTAAAATTAGTATACTCATTATTGTTTTGCACATGGTAAGGACATATATGCGCATAAAACACTACATCTCTCGATATGTAGCATTTACGAGTCTTTGAATTTTAAACTTTCCATCCCTTTTGTCCTTGTGGATGGATAACCAATAAAAATACACCTTTCAGCTCTGGGATCAAATTTACGTATTTCCTTTGAGTCACTTTTCTTCTAGCACAAGCAGCCAAAAGTTCTCAAGTGCTCATAGTTTGGTGCTATCTTAAAAAGTAACTCATATGGAGTGATTACCTTATTTGTCACTGTATGGGTTCTATTGATTAGATATGATGTTGTCATTACAAAATCTCCTCAAAAATGTAATGGGAGATTCGCTTGAAAATGTAAGGTTCGTGCTATGTTCAAAAGATTTATATGCTTGCGTTCCACACGTTCATTCTCTTGATGTGTGGCAACATAAGAAGTTTCATTTATGATCCCTTATTTTTTAGTGAAGCAATTGATATCAGAGTTAGTAAATTATGTCTTATTGTCACTCCTAATCCTCTTGATATGCAAGTTATAGTACAGCTGAATCCCTGGAAAGGCATTAAACTCTTGTTGCAACTAAACTCTTAAATCATGTCTCATTGTTACTCCTAATCCTCTTGTTATAGTATAGTTAAAGCGCTACAGATTAGTTCCCTGGTATGGGATTAAACTCTTTTTTCTCAAGCCCAATTTGGTGAACATATCCACATACAAGATGTCCCGTTAACCCTTTTTGTCGAGAAGAATTTATGAGACGTCACAGTTGTCCATGGCGGCTACAATTTTCAATGGGAATATTTTACTTGGTATCCTTCCTACCCTTTTGATGTCCTTAAACCTTAGAATGAGTCGTTCACAACTCTCGTCTGATGTCAATTTCTTGTCTTGGTCAATAGATGACATTTCTGCGATATTCCCATTGATGGATCTTTTGAACGACCCATTTAAGAGTGGGAATCCCATGTGATTAAGAGGATGAAATGGAATTATCCTCATGAGATTGAGGAAATTAAAGTGTTTTCCCTTTCATGAGGTCTTCTTCTTCAATAGTTTCTCTTACTTTGTCGATTTCCTCTAGTACTTTGATTGTCTTCCTTGGCGGTGTATCATCCTGGTGGGGAGCCTTTTTCTATGTGGGGATTCTCTCATACCGCTAGCTCTCTATGGAGAAACATGTGTCTTTTATTTTCCTCCATTTTACCATATTTTATTGTGTACCTCTTAAGCCTCGCCTTTTTATTAGTCCTTCAATTACGTCTTTGAGGTGCATGCAACCATTTGTCTTGTGCCCATGGCACTTGTAGGATCTGCAAAACATTGTTTTGTCGACACATAGTTTTTACTTCACGATTTAAGAGTACATCACCCCCAAATTCTTTAAACTTTATGTTGGCACACTCTTAAAAATTATTTCTTCGGACATGTTCAAAGGGTTGTACTCTAA